GCGCGCAGGGGCGGCTCCGGGCTCCTCTCCCACCCCTGGGTCTCCTCCCCGCCCGGCGGGGCCCGCGGCCACCTGCGCCCCCGCCCCAGAGGCCGCGCCCGAGCCGGGAACCCTGGGCCGCCAGCGAGAGCGCTCCTCGGCCATCCCGGCGCGGGCCGTCGCGGGGAATCGCTGCGTCGTGGGCACAGTCCCGCGCAGGGATGCGGCTGCGCTGAGAGGTGCCCGCCGCGGACGCCCGGAGGCCGCGCGGAGAGTCCCCGCCGGGAGCGGGCCGCGCGTGTGGCCGCCAGGATGACCAACCCCGCGGCCGCGCAGAACACGGAAATAGACTGCCTGAGTCCCGAGGCTCAGCGACTGGTAAGGGGCACACGCTTTCGAAACTTTCTTTCCGACTGCGAGCGGCCTTTGTTAGCAGGGTTTCTGATTGTTCTAAGGCCAGGAGCAGACCGCACCGTCCGCCGCGCGGGGTGGGCTCCGGGGCCGGAACCGGGACCGGCGACTGGGCGTCCCGGCACGAGGCGCGCGGGCAGCGGCGCGCTCTGCTCTCGGCGCGGCTGGTGCCCCGGCGCCCCTTACGGTGCCGGAAAGCGCATTTTATTGTAGACGCCCCTTCCAAGGGCGAGAAGGAACGCGCTCTCTCTCCTCTGCCTGCGGGGACGGTCCCTTGACAGGCTCTGCCCAGCTGGTTGGCTCCGGCCGGGTCTGCGCCTGGTCTAGAATTTCACGCCGAGCTGCTTCGTCGGTATTTTACAAAATACAGCGCCCAGGAACTGGTGCCCAGAGCAAGCACGCTCGCCCCGGGGCTGGCACACCAGCGGCTGGGTGCTTCGGAGCACTCATCCTTTTCTGGAGCCTTAGGACCCCCCCCACCCCCAGGACCCTGCGCCCCACACCCACTGTGGCCGATATCCCAGAGTCTTCCCACTCCGGACAGGATCCTCCACCTGTGGGGCTTCGCCGGTACCCAGCTCGGCGCCCGGTAGAGGGATCAAGGAGGTAGGGGTAGGTTGGCATTGAAATTGGGCAGAGAGGTGGGGAAGCTTTGTAACTACCTATTTCCATGCAGCTAGTGGTTGATTGTGAATGGAAATATTTAAAAGTGAAAGGGGACACTTTGGAAAAGAAATATTTTATGTAGTTAGTCCACAGAGAGTCCCTATATTTCTGCTTTAGCCAGTCTTCATGGGACCTCGATAAAAGTGTGAGCCCAAAACAATCGCTCCTTCATCGAGTAGAGATTAATCATCTTCCGGGTGTTTGTGAAGGATTCAAGATGAATGAGACAGCCCCGGCTCTGGTAGCACTTACTAGGAAATGCCGGAGAGAAGCGCAGAGGTAGAGATTCTGATGAGAGCACACTTGAAAAGTCCAGTTCCTCGCCTGTCAGGTGGTGGCGGAGTTTTCTTTTTGCCCATTTCTGTGTGCTTTGCCTATGACCTCATCTAGGGCTCTGGCAGCGGGCCAGGCTTTTGGAGCTGGTTCCTCTCCCTGAGCCTGCTTAGTTCCTGGGGCCCTGGGACCTGGAGGCAGACCCTCGACTGGCTGTCAGGAAAGGGTTCCTGAGAGAGGGAAGGGCGAGAGTGCTGCAGAGGAAGGCTGGTGTTCGGGGGCAGGCTGGCACTCCATAGATGGCAAGAGAACAGGGCGGATGTGAGGAGGAACTAACTGCTGGCCCAGAGTCCTTGGAGAAGGGAAGAGTAAACACAGAGATCTGGATGTGAGGGAGGGAGGGACAGGCCGACTGGGGAATATGCAGCAGTCTGGGCACACCTAGCTAGCCTGCTGGCACTGAAGGCTGGGGCCTCCTGGGCGCGCCTGGGCTGGCTGGCTACTTGGCGGGGAGGCTGCCAGGAAGAAGTGAGAGGGGAGTCTGGGCCGCATCCAGCCCGGGAGGTGCCCGACCGGCCCGGGCTCACCGCCCCTCGCCCCAACTCCAGAATCCAGTAAGCTCTGGAAACGGAAAGGTTTGCGTTTTGTTTTTGTTTTTATACGTTTGTGGCAGAATTTTGGCAGAGAACCGTCCCGATGGGAGGCTATTTTTAGTCTCTGTCCCTCTTAGTGTGAATATTTCATACATTTCTCTACAGCCTTGTGAATGCATTTGACTAAGGGCTGCTGCTAGTAAACAGTGGCGAGACTTTGTTACAGAGTGGGCCATGGAGAGTAGACGTGGAGCACGGCCCCTGTCTGCGAGGGCAATGGTCTCCCGGAAGGGAAACGAGCTGAATGACAGCCAGGCAGGGCTTGGGGGTGCGTTAGAAGTAGAGTCACCCAGCACTGCTCGCTCTGGGCCGTAGG